GGCATAGTGATGCATTTATTTTTACACGGGTTATTTGGGAAGAAAATAAAATATCTCATTTATTATTGAAAGGATTTTGGGAAAAAATTATTGTTTTCAAACTTATTCATATTTTTGGCAACTTCGGTAACGATTTTGGGTTTCACTGATGTACTTGAAAGGAAGAACTATTTTTTTGGAAATTATAATTTAGCTGAGCATTTTTCTCTGAATTTCTTCTTATATAATTTGCTTTACGTTGTGATGGACTGTGGTGGACTATTGGTTTTGGACTGACCTTGGTAAAAGCTCGTTACTGCTTTCAACCTAAGGTTAGGTTTGCTACTTACTCAGTACATGGGGTCGGTTGTACTGATACTATACTTCTGTACATTGCGTGCAGATGTTGGCTGTTGTTGTTATTGCACTCGATGGTTGCCGAATTTGAAGATGTACCTGCGTTCCTATTGCAGCTGCCTCTTGTTCATGGTAGCCTTAGATTCATAAAACTCTGTTTATGTAGTTTTCAAACAGATGATGTAATTATTTCATACCCGTTTTGTATACTCTATTCTTAGAAGCTCATGATTTGTACTACCAGTTCTTGAAAAAAAGTATTGGTCTTATCTATTTTCTTTTAATTAATTGACTTATTAATTTTATTGTAATTGGATAATTGGTAATTGGCTTACCTAGCGGGTTGGGTTAGGTGCCATCACGACTAGTTGGATTTTGGGTCGTGACACCAATAAGCCTTTGGTATTGCCCTATGTCATCCAACAGAATATCATCTTCAACTCTTGTTAACTTGTCCAGTTCTGGTACTGTTAGCTTTGCATTTGCCTCTAAGAGAGTCCAAGCTAGTTTAGCCCCTGTAAGCCCCAAGTCAGATATTATTTCCAAAGCATATTTTCTTTGACTGATTAATATGCCTTTCCTTGATCTACTGAATTCCATTCCAAGGAAAAATTCCAGTTCTCCTAAATCCTTAATTTTTAAAGCCTGATGCAATGAGTCCTTGGTGGCTTCAATTAGCTGTAGGTTGCTTCTTGTTACTAGCATATCATCCACATAGACTAGAATCACAACAGTATCTTAATCATATTGTCTAATAAACAATGGGTGATCTAGGCTGCTCTGATGAAAACAAGAAGATAAGAGTGTTTCTGTTAGTTTTAGATTCCATTGCCTACTAGCTTGTTTAAGTCCATATAGGTATTTTACAAGTCTGCAGACCACACCTGACTCCCCCTGACTTGTAAAACCCTGTGGCAATTCCATATAGACCTTATCATGAAGATCCTCTTGCAAGAATGCATTGTATATATCCAATTGATGAACAAACCAATTATGCACAACAGCAAGTGAAAGAACAGTTCTGACAGTGGCTATTTTAACCACTGGTGAGAAGGTCTCATTATAATCTAAACCTTCTCTCTAGTTATAGCCTTTAGCTACTAATCTAACTTTAAATCTCTCCACTTCTCCATTAGCCTTGAGTTTCACCTTGTAAACCCATTTGCACCCTATAGGTCTCTTTCCTGCTGGTAGCTTGACCAATTCCCAAGTATTATTCTCCTGTAATGCTTGAATTTATGCTTGCATTGCATCCACCTACCTTTGATCTTGAGAAGCATGCTGAAAGTTCTTAGGCTCTATGATGGCTGAAAAAGCTCCAAGATACAACTGATAGGATGATAATAATCTATCATATGTGACAGACTCTTCAATAGGATACATAACTGAGCTAGCTGAAGGTTTGTTGGTGACATAATCTATCATCCATACAGGTTCCTTGGGTCCTCTTTGAGATCTTCTCAAAGGTACATTGGTGTCAGCACAACTTGGTATTGAAAGAGTCTCCTCTGTAGGTACATCTGTATCAGATGACTCATGTCCATGAGATGTTGATATATCTTGAAGGATCTCATTCTCAGGAGCATTCTCTGGTGTTGAAGTATTGTGGGAGTCATTACCAGCTGCATAATCAACTGTGGTACTGGAGTCTAAATTCAATGCAGGTGAACATGGTGTTACTGTAGTTGTGGGTACACTATAAGCATCATAGGTGAAGAAAGGATCCACTGTCTGACTTGTCTCTGATGACTGTAATTGAAATGGGAATACATTTTCCCTGAAAGTAACATCCATGTTGGTAAAGAATACATGTTTTGACATGTCATATAGAATGTAACCTTTAGTTACATTGGAATATCCCATAAGCACTGATTTTATTGCCCTGCTTGTAAATTTTTCTCCCTTTGGCAGTGTTGCAGCATAACACACACATCCCATAGTTCTTAAGTGACTGATAGAAGGTCTCTTGTTAAAGAAAACCTCATAAGGTGATTTTCCTTGAAGGACTATAGATGGTAGTCTGTTTATCACATAAGCAGCAGCTAATATGCAATGGCCCCAAAACTTGAGAGGAATATAACCCCGAAACTTTATTGCTCTAGCAACCTCAAGTAGATGTCTATGCTTTCTTTCTGCCACCCCATTCTGTTGGGGTATGTATACACATATTTTCTGGCGTAAAATTTCCATTGTTTCACATAGTTCCTGCATTCCTGAGTTCACAAACTCTCCTCCATTGTCTGATCTAATTGTTTGAATTACAACATTGAACTGAGTGCCAACAATTTTAGTAAAGTTCCTCAAAACTATGATGACATCTGGTTTTAGCTTCAACGGAAAAATCCATGTCACACGAGAATAGTCATCCACAACAGTTAGGAAGTATTTATTTCAATCAAAAGTTGGTGCAGTACAAGGACCCCGTACATCTAAATGCAACAGTTGAAACACCTTATTTGATCTACTAGTGCTCAAAGGGAAATGTGATTTGTGATGCTTAGCTAATGGACATACTTCGCACTTATCTACTACAGACTGACAAGTATCTAATTTGTATCCTAGGAGCTTCTTCATAGATCCTCCTGAAGCATGTCCCAGCCTCTTGTGCCAGATGATTGCTTTCACTTTATTCTCTTGTGTTGTTTGTCCCCTTGCATTCTCCCTTTCTTTTAGTTCTGCTGGATTGTTTGTTTGTGAAACCAGCAGATAAAGTCCATTCTTTTTTTTACCAATCCCCTTCACCTCCTTAGTGAAGAGGTCCTGGAATAAACAAAAATCAGGGTAGAATGCAACTAAGCACCTAAGATCTCTTGTCACTTTGGAAACAGACATAATATTATACTGAAAATTTGGTATAAACAAAACATTTTTGATCGCCCATGTGCCTGTTATTTTGCAGTTACTAATATGTGTAACCTGTGCTATTTCTCCATTTGGCAAATTAACCCTCTTAGTGTCTTTAACATTAACTGCCTTAATGTTACTTAACAACCTTAGGTCAGCAACCATATGATTGGTTGCACCTGTATCTATTATCTAGTAGGCTTTTGCTACATCAAGAAGAAATGAGTAAGTAATATTACCTGCCATGTTGGCCATATTCTCCTGTGCTTTTTCATGGTTGGCATTGAGACTCAACATTTTCATTATCTGGTCATACTGTTTTGCAGTCAGCTGTGGTGTTCTAGCCATTTCTCCTTTGTTATAACCATCAAGCTGCCCAGTGTTTCCTGCATTCCCAGTGCCTATGTTTGGATTAGCATTCTCAGCACAAACATTATATGCAGTGTTTATGTTCATTTTCCTTTTTCCTTTGAAGCCTGTCGGGTATCCAATCAATTTGTAGCACCCTTCCTTTGTATGTCCCTTCATTTTGCAATAGTCACACTGAACATTTCAATTTTTCTTTGGCTTCTGATAGTTCTGATATACATTATTTTTACCAGCTAGAAGAGCTGCATGTTCATTTTCATCCCCTGCTGTCATGGTGTTAGTTAGTGTCCTCTGGCTCTCTCGTTCAACTAGCATCGACTATGCCTTGTTAATGCTTGGAGTTGGACTAGTCATCAGAATTTGGCTCCTAGCCTGCTCATAGGTTTTATTTAGTCCCATTAGGAACTGTAAAACTTTCTGCTTTTGCATGAATTCAATGAAATTTCTAGACCTTGCAAAGTCACATGGAGGTGGTACCATGTTGTCAAATTCATCCCAGAGGTTGCGCAATTTAGTGAAGTACACTGATATATTGTCTGTTTCTTGTGTGATTGTTGCTATCGCTTTGTGCAACTGATAGACTCGTGAAGTATTCATTTTGTCAAATCTCTCTCTCAGATCTTCCCAAACAGCCATAACATTTTTGGCATAGACTATTCCTGTTATCAATTCCCTCGATAATGAGCTCATTATCCATCCCAGGACTATAACGTTACAACGATCCTATTGATGACCTAGTTCATAATCAAAATCACCCCTTTTCAGAGTCCTATCAACCAATCATAACTTGTTCTTCCCAAGCAATTGGATCTCCATCGCTCGACTCCAAGTAGTGTAGTTGTCTAAACCAGTCAGCTGGATCGATATTATTGGCGCACCTGTTGTATCTGAAGGATGAAGAAATAGTGGATGATTGTGATCCAATTATGTCCTTGCCGCCATTGTTGAGCCCACAATTTCTGTAATTTATTTATATATGGAACATGATTTTCCAAAAACAGTAATTCACACTCGCAATTGCGATGAGTGCTCTGATACCATGTTAATTTGGGAGCAATCTATGAACCCTAATTGACGGAGGAGAATTGGAGAAGAGAGCTTAGAAAGAGAAATATTTCATGAAAGAAAATGATTTCATTTCAGTTAAGTTATTTGTATAGTATATGTGCATATATATAAAAAATACTAATGAGTACCTGCCCACTAACTTACTAACAAACTATTTAACTACCAATCTAACTTTAATAATCTAGAACATTCCTACACATCCACACACCTACTATGTCACAACATTCTCAATACATACAAGTTAAATACACAAAAAAAGATTAGCCTTGATGTTTCTTGGAAATTAACTTTAGGTACCAAATGGATCCCAAAATATCATCACTACACAAAGACCTCTTACTACAAAGATGACCTTAATTTAAAGATTAGTAGCCTAAAGAAAGGTGTTTGGAACTTTTCCTCTATTTCTATTGATCTTCCTCCGAACCTAATTCATACCATCAAAAGTGTTCATCTTCCACTATATGTTGTCATTGAACAGTAATGGCCTCTTCACTACTAACTCAGCTCATTCACTTCGTCACTTGGATATGGAAACTTAATTAGGATCCCAAATTAAATCTAAGTTTTTTTCTTTTGTTGTGCTACCATAATAGATTACCAACTAGATCTTATTTAAACTCCATTAGGATAGTATTAACAAACAATGATTTATTTTAACTGAATTTTTTAGGGAAACCATTAATTTTAGGGCTTCGGACCAAAATTGTCAATTTTTTTGCATAGATTAAGGACTATTTCTGTTCAGAGGTATACATTAAAAACCAAAATAGTCCAACTTAAAACAACCATAGGTAATTTTCTCCCCCAACTCCACTCTCTCCTCTCCAGTAGAAGAAAATGGTAGGTATGAGAATGATTAGAAGAGTGGTTCCATTATTATCAAGACCTCTTAGTACGACTCAGATTCGAAATGGTTCGAGAATTCCTAAGTCATCTCCACCTCTTGTTTCACTTGACCTCCCCGATGAGTGGTCCTCCAATTTTACCCATTCTGATTCTCCTCCTCCTTCCCCAAAATACAGTAAGCAACTCACCTTTTTCCCTATTTCGTTATTTCTAGATTCTTTCTCCTCTCGTTTTTTGTCTGTTTTCCCCCATTTTGGGCACTGACTGTCATTGTTATTTGAAGATTGTGCTACAACGCTTGAGTATTTAGTTGATTGGGACCTCGAATATGTAGAGAAATGAGTATTGCATGTTAATTTTTCAGAGGTTAAACAACCTTCGTTTTTTTCCTCCAGTTTTTGGCATAAAAGTATCCCCTTTGTGAACCCTAACAGCTTGATTGGATGGTTGTTATCCTTTGTTTCATAATGCTTAGTTGTGCATTGTATGACCCCACTTGTGGGATTATTTTGTTGTTGTCGTATTGTACTGTATTAGTTTATGAATATAATGTTTGGATAGATTGTATCGTTCACTCTGGTTTAATAACATGTTTATTGTTTGGTTTGACTGTATCGTATTGTATTAGAATAGTGGACAAATTTACTAAGACAACTATGAAAGGAATAATGCACGTGCAAAAGAAAGAGAAAAATGTAAGATGAAGATTACTCTGTCTCCAACCTAAAAATTTGCAAATGAAACATAAAGAAAGAAAAGAAAATATGGAGGGAATCAAGAATGAATGGTGTACTTTTTTTATAATCATGGTGTCCGGGCCAATTTGCGCGCAACTCAACTATTTTCACAAGATACCTACTACCTCCCACCAGCAACAGATACTAGGTAACTCTGTCATGTCCGCCAAGGCTTGAACAGATGGGAAAAAATCATAAAAAAACCAAATATCAAAGAAGCATTCGGGTAAAAGAACTCTACTATATTCTTAGGATCACTCCTTTAGCACTCTTCACATCATAATGTCAAACCAACGTTTTAGACGTGATGCTTCCAATCCCACCTTTAGCAGCGTCACAAAGTAAATACTTGTCATATTTTGGGGAGTGAAAATTGTTCATGCTACACAACCACGGCTGTTCGTAGAACTTTAATATTGTAGAATCTTGCTTTCTAATGATCCTTACACTGCCATTGTCTATGTTTTGCATTTATGGTTTTTCAAGTTTCGTACGATGGGACCAAAAAAGAAACAAAGAAATATTCTGCTTCTAGTTTAATTTACTTTCAACAGCCGACAATGCGACTGCTAGAATAATTGATGGAATCTCTGAGGCCGAGCAAATTAGAGCAAGCATAGCCGTCGAAGTTAGCAGAATGAAGGAGTCAACAGGAAAGGTTCCTGGTTTGGCAGTAGTATTGGTGGGGCAAAGGCAAGACTCTCTTGCCTATGTCCGTAAAAAAATAATGGCTTGCCATGAGGTTGGGTTCAGGTTTTCACTTGCTGAACTCCCTGAGAGCTGTACAGAAGAGGAGATCTGTGATGCATTATCAAATTATAACAAGGATGCATCAATTCATGGTATTCTTGTGCAGCTTCCTTTGCCACAGGTAAATCTTCAACTAAGTAGTATACACTTATCCATGTTATGTGAAAGACACTGCATAAGAAAGCATGAAACTATCAGTTTCCATAAATATAGTTGATTCTTAAACTTGAGCATCTGTTCATTTATCCTCATTTTCTCCCCAAAGATGTTTACGCAGTTGAATAAAAATGGTTGAAATTCACAATGTTAGATATGAAATCTAGGGGAGATACTAATTTCATCCCTTTAATTACTGTCTGTATATGGTTTTGTCATTATGCTGCCCCCCCCAAACAAAAAAAGGTATGTGATATATTTTCTGGCGCTAACAAAAGTTATTGGAACAGCATTTTGACGAGGGAAAGATTCTGAATGTACTAAGCTTAGAAAAAGACGTTGATGGATTTCATCCACTAAACATTGGGAACTTAGCCATTCAGGGTAGAGAGCCATTGTTCATCCCGTGCACTCCGAAAGGCTGCATCGAGTTACTGCTCAGGTCTGATGTCGAAATAGCTGGCAAGAGAGCTGTAGTGATTGGGAGGAGCAACATCGTTGGACTACCTGCTTTTTTGTTGTTGCAGGTGATACATCTGTCGCACATAGCCGTCAATTTGTTGCACTCTTATAAATCCAACTTTTTACAAATATCTATCCCACAGTAAGGTGGTCATTTATGTGTTATCTCTTTGTATTCCAGTCTATGCATTTTCTTCTCACCATGACAAACAAAGTGAACATTGTTTGCAGAGGCACCATGCAACAGTAAGTATTGTGCATGCATATTCAGAGAACCCAGAAATGATTACCCGTGAAGCTGATATACTTGTTGCAGCAGCTGGAGTGCCTAATTTAGTCCGCGGTAGCTGGTTAAAGCCTGGAGCAGTTGTTCTTGACGTTGGAATAAACCCAATTGAGGTAATTTCTGGAGACCCTTCTTAGTATTGCATTTATCTTGTCCATGTAAATGCATGACAGTGAAACTAAGATAGGTCGGATTAGTTGTAACTTTTCTATCGAAAAAAGAAATTGATTTAAATAATTCATGTACATGTGAAACAATAAGGTCATTTGTATGTTCAACTGGTGTAGGACCTTGAGAGTGAAAATGGTTACCGTTTGATTGGAGATGTTTGCTTTGACGAAGCAGTCAAGATAGCTTCTGCAATAACCCCTGTGCCCGGAGGTGTAGGTCCTATGACAGTTGCAATGCTTCTTCAGAACACCCTTGAAGCCGCCAAACGTGCACTTCATCTTACTTGATTTAAGGTGGAGGAATTCCAAAAATCTCTCATTTCTTCCTCTCTATTAGAAACGTGGAGAAGAAATGATTGAAAACTAGCCCGAGTTTTGCACAACCTCTGCATTATTGGACTTATATCTGGTGGACGAGTCTCTGCTATTTAATCAATCCTGACATATTAGGAAGTTCTCAGTTCCGACTTCAAGGAAGCAGCAATAGTGAACGAAAGTAGCAGCTTCAGTACGTATGTGGGATGACGTGCAATATAATATGAGATTGGAGGCCTAGCGAATAGTGCTAACATATCTACGTTTGGTTTCCATAATGCAGAAAGTTCTCTTGTATGACTAACTATATTTGTGTATACTGATTTGCTCCTTCAAGGTTCCTTTTTTGCTCCTTAAGGTTGACCTTTTAAAAGTACACAAGCATATATTTTTAGTAAAGAACTTTTGGAAAATGTAAAAGGAAATTTAGAAATGATGCAACATGCACACTGTGAGGTGGATTTGATGGGAAACAAAGGCTTTCTGCAATTTTCTTCCCTTGTTTTCTAGATATTGCTACTTTTTCCTTCAATTTTTTTAAAGGGTGCACTATTGTCTCTCTCTCTATATATATATATATATATATATAAGTGGGCAATAGAAAAGTGAGGTGGCACCGCCGAAGAAACACATTTATCTTTTTTCTCCTTTTTTTGGGGTTTTTTTTAATCATTTTATTCATTTATTTTATATTTAAAATTCTATCTTCATAACTCACACCTCTTTATCTTCGTAACCTATATTTTTAATAATCTCAATAATTCTCATGCATTTTATATTCATAACCTCTAAATATTTAATGTGTAAGTTTATGTCTATTTATTATATGTTCCTCCATATGTACCTATATAAGGACTTCTATGTTTTGAACAAATATGATTGATACTAACTTTATATTCTGCTTATAATGGTTTGAGCTATCTCTATGTCAAAGGTTGTAGTGGAAAAGAAAAATTATACTAATATATGGTATAATTTCTATTCTTTGTTTTTTTATTAAGGTAAATGCATGAAGATATTCCATACATGTGTGAATCTTAAGAAGAATGTTTAAGAGGAAGTGTCAAATAATGAGGAGAAGATCGAAGTAAAGCGTATTTCACAATTCTCATTAATGGTCTTTGATTTTGTCATCTTTAGGTTTATGTTGTATAAGTTGAAGTAGTGGTTTTTTTTTCAAATAATACATAGAGATTTTGATATTTGTTTTTTGTTGTATATATTTATCCTCTAAAATTGCAATAACTTTGAGTCGTGATTTTATCCGATGTCAAAGTGAGATTCTAATGTGTTTTTCTTTTCCTGTTATATATAGATTTATCATTTTTATAAATATAACTTTCTATATGTTCTTATTTTTTTGCCTCTATTTCTTTTCTTCAATGAACTTTTTTGAATTAGGCATTAATCTATGACATTGACAATTTGTAGATAACTTTAAGTTAACATATAGTGTAATCTAATTATTTAAGAAATCACATGTAATAATAGGTTATTACCGATCAAAAATTTTAACACTGGGAATGGGATAGGCTTTCAGTAGTTTAAAAATTACTAGACAACGAGTTATTAACTTTATGAAATAAAGTATTTTTTATTTTTGGGTTATACCGGTATTTTTTATTTTCGGGTTATACTATCGATGATTGAAAACTTAGTGAAGTTCAAAATCAACTTGCAAATAATATTCATTATTCTAATGTTAGGATTTACACACATACAGATTTATCATTTTTATAAATATATTTTTTTTATATGTTCTTAATTTTTTTGCTTCTATTTCTTTTCTTCAATAAACTTTTTTGAATTTGGCATTAATCTATGACATTGACAATTTGTAGATAACTTTAAGTTAACATATAACGTAATCTAATTAATTAAGAAATCACATGTAATAATAGGTTATTACCGATTAAAAAATTTAACACTGTGAATGGGGTAAGCTTTCAGTAGTTTAAAAATCACTAGACAACGAGCTATTAACTTTATGAAATAAAGTATTTTTTATTTTCGGGTTATACTATCGATGATTGAAAACTTGGTGAAGTTTATAATCAACTTGCAAACAATACTCATTATTCTAATGTTAGGATTTACACACAATTAGTTTTGATTCTTATCTTATTAAATGTGTTATTCAAAGATTTTTTAATTAAAAAAATTAAATGTTCCTGTGAATGCTTGGTGAATTTTATTATTTAAAGTGTGATATTATCTCTAATTTAATATTGCAGTTGCTGAATTAAATGTATCCCATAAAAGCATGCTTTAACTATCAGAATGGTGCAATAAATTAACGGAATAAAAGTTTTAACATTTATGTTGCAAAGTAAGAGGAGGAGGTCTTCCTAATGATCTTTTGTCAAAAAGTATATATTTTTTCTCATGGAAATTTTCACCTTCTCAATATGCAACTGTCAAGACCCAAATCCTAACCTGTCGTGATGACGCCTATCGATGGTACTAGGCAAGCCGTCATTTCCAAATACTCCAAATATTTAACAGAAAAATAATTCAAGACATTTGAAATAGGCAAAGTTTTCATAAACAAGGGGGTAAAACCCAAAATACAAGTGCAGAAATAGCTCCCAATATCGGGGTGTCACTAAGCGATGAGCATCTATACATGATCAGTCTAAAAATGAAACAACCGTAACAGTTTGGATCCTGTCACGACCCAAAATCTAACTAGTCGTGATGACACCTAACCTCACCCGCTAGGTAAGCCAAATAACACAATCTGATTCAACTAATAATTAACTAACTATAATACACTCCCAAGGACCGGTAATACAAATCATGAGCTTCTAAGAATAGAATTTACAAAGCTTATATGAAATAAATACATTTTCTGTTTGAAAAGTACATAAACAGAGTTTTTATAATCTAAGGCTACTATGAACAAGAGGCAGCTACCATAAGAACGCAGGTACATCTTCAAATCCGGCAACCATCGAGCACATCAACAACAACAGCCAACATCTGCACGCAATGTGCAGAAGTGTAGTATCAGTGCAACCGACCCCATGTACTGAGTAAGTAACAAACCTAACCTTAGGTTGAAAGCAGTGACGAGCTTTTACCAAGGTCGGGTCCAAAACCAATAGTCCACCACAGTCCATAACAACGTAAAGCAAATAGTACAAGAAGTAATTCAGAGGAAAATGCTCAGCTAAATCATAATTTCCAAAAGATAGTTCTTCCTTTCAAGTACATCAGTAAAACCCAAAATCGTTTACCGAAGTTGCCAAAAATGTGAATAAGTTTAAAAATAATAATTTTCTCAAAATCCTTTCAATAATAAACAAGATGTTTTATTTTTCTTTCCAGATAACCAGTTTAAAACAAATGCATCACTATGCCCATCTGCCAACATGTGTGAGAAATCATGAATGATGTAATATCGTACAACATGAGAAAAAATACATCTCTATGCCTGTATGTCATGTGTGCATGTCAATGCAATGTATCTCAGAGATGAACTCATATGCATACTATTAGAGTATCAATTCACTCAGTCCTTCCCATCACTCAGTCCTCACAGTCACTCAATCCTCCTAATCGCTCGACACTCGTACTCAGTAGGTACCTGCGCTCACTGGGGGTGTGTAGAGACTCCGGAGGGGCTCCTTCAGCCCAAGCGCTATAAACCGCACGTGTTGCACGGACAACTCACGTGCTATAATATAAATATCTGGATCCGCACGGACAACTCACGTGCTA